CCCCCCCTCTGCTTAATTCTTTTTAAGCGCAGCGATGCACAAGTCCTGGATTCCCAGGAATCTCTGTGAAAAAAACGGGAAGACCGTCCGGAACTGCTTTCCATTTTTTTTTTTTACAAGGACCACAAAAAGAAATTGAGGCTCGATCGGGGCTCGAACGGGGTTCGATCGGGGCTCCTTCTACGACCAACTCCAAACATCAACTTCGACAACCGTCGAAATAATAATTTAAAAAACCCATCCTATGTTCTAAAAATGGTTTCGGCGCTCCCAATGCAGCGAAACTCGGGGAAGAAAAGGAAATTCTCGGTCGCGGAATGGAATTCTGACTTTCCGTTTCCGCCACGAACCGCGAATTCGCCTCGGAGTGTGCCACGCGATTTTCTGCACGTGCAGGATCGTTTTTGCATCGCATTTTGGTTTGCATTTAAATACGAGAATTTATTAACAATAATCGTAGCAACTACAGACGTTTTCGTCTCCTTTTTCTCCCGAACGCGGAAAAAGAGTTCCACGACGGAACTCATCCCTCACGAAGAGCCCTAAGAACCCCTCACGAAGGAGAATCCCTCACGAACCGATGTCTCTTCTCGGAAGAGGATCGGTGGAGGCCGAGAAACGAGGATTCCACAAAAACCTGCGGGTTTCCATAAAAAAAGAGGAAAATGAGCGTCCGTGTCCTCTCGCTTTTCTCCATTCTTTGCTTTTCGCCACAAGATTCTTCACTTTCGGAGAATATAACTCCGAGTATAAACGTTTTCTGTCTTTTTTGATCGCACGCGGGCGAACGCGAATTCGCGGCCTGTCCTTCGACGTCCTTCGATGTCCTTGGATGTCCTCAAATTCTGGTTTTGCCGAAACCCCCCCACGGCATCGATTTTCGCCATCCCATCCAAAATAAGGGAAAATCCTCTCGTTATCACTGGCAACCCTCGTTAAAACGAATGAAATTGTCGTTCTCGACCGGGAACGGGAAGGCTCGGAGACGAATCCGCGCCTCCCCGTCCGATTCGGGCAAAGGATTTAAATCCGCTTAAGGACGAGTTTCGAGAAAGGGCACGGAGTCCCCGTCGCCGACTCTAAGCTCGTTACGGTGAATAATTGAGCGGCACTTTTCCCGCCGACAGAAGGCTTTCAGGTTCCCATCGCGACATCGTCTTCTGGGAATTTTACGAGCTTCGAACTCGATTTACGAGATTTCTCGGCGAACGCGGAGACGGAAGGATTTTCTACCCGAGGAAATCGGCGATAAAAAACCCACTTTGCGGTTCCGCTCGGAGCGGCACGAACGAACGACGGCTCGGAATCTGGGGAAACTCCGCTTTTCTTTCTCCATCGTGTTTTTTCGGAGAGCATCGCGGAAATCGCAGGCGATCGGGATGCGAAGGCTATTTTTCTCCCGGCGAAATAACCTTCCCGTCCCCGAGGACCGGAGCGTTTCCGGGGCCAGGGTATTCTCGAGGGCCGGAGCGTTTCCGAGGGCCGGGGCATTTCCGGGGGCCGGGGGATTTCCGAGGACCGGAGTGTTTCCGGGGGCCAGGGGATTTCTTGGTGAATTTGCGGAATGCCCCCAGGCAGTTCGCCCTTTCATCTTTGCAGAGGATGGAGAGGAAAATGGGAGTGACACATGGATGGGGCAAATGGATGCTAACCCTTTCATCACTTCGTATGGCACGATTCATGTCTTTCTCCAACTCTTTCTCTTCTGGTCTCTCTCTCTCTTTCCACTCATCGACGGGGAGGAACTAATTGGAGCCTCGGGGAGACATCACTGCAGAAGCGGATATTTCAATTTTCTCTCTGAGTGGGAATCAATGGAGGCCGCAGAGCGAGGCGATCCTCCTATCTCTCTCTCTCTCTCTCTCTCTCTCTCTCTCCCCCTCTCTCCCTCCCTCTCTCTCTCCCTCTCCCTCTCTCCCTCCCAATCTCCCTCTCTCTCCCTCTTGCCGGCCTTGAAAGATTCCACTTGCTGATTCTCCATCACGTTGCGGAGACACTAAAAAGCACTTTGGACTAATTCTCGCTCTCCTCGATATCCAGTCCGATGAGAAAACTCGGCGGATCGTCGACGCCCATTCGAGTGGAGATGTCGAAACGCATTTCCCCCCGACGCATCCCGAGGCTCGACCCCGAGTGGGTCTGCCT